TTATTACTCAGGTGACTCTTAAACTGCAGCCGCTGTTCAAACGCTCGGTGACGTACGTGACCAAGAATGACTCGGAGCTCGGAGACGACGTTGTGGGTTTCGGGAGGAAGCACGAGTTTGCGGACTTCGTGTGGAACCCAAGTCAAATGAAAGTCTCCTACAGAATTGATGATCGTGTTGCAATTAACAGTCGGGGGATGGGCTGAATGATTTTCCGGGATTCAAATCCACCTCCTCGCTTATTCTCTCAACTTTGAGAGCAAGCGGTACATGCATATATATAATCTGCCTATACATATTAACATATTATTGGGAAAACTGAAAAGGAAAATGTAACAGAATGAAAATCTAGCAAAATGCTGCAGTCCCGTTACGGAAGCATTTCGTCGGGTTTGTAACCATTAGAACATCATGTAATCGTCGTAAATAGTTGATCTGACGATTACAAATTCCGACGTAATGATTTCGTAACGAGGACCGTAGCATCTCTCAAAAATCTAATACAATGTTTGATTGTTAGCTACTTTACAAGTATCGTGCTGATTGATTTCCAGTATATGTATATGCACTAATTATAAGGGCTTTAAAAAACTGGTTTTTTTGTAACAGAGGAGACGCAAGAGTTCTTTGGCGATGCAAATGGAAAATGCATAAATGGAATATTCACGTCGTCTGCCTTAAGAACCACCGCTTTTGGACTAACAAACAATGGTATACGTAATTTTCATGGGAGATTCAACGGTCCCGTTACGGAACCATTCCGTCGGGCTTTATAACCGTTAGATCAACTATCCACGACGATTACATAATGATTTAACGGTTATAAATCCCGACGAAATGGTTCCGTAACGGGACTGTAGTGTTTCCCAATATTCATCTCCAATTTCTCTCTCTCTCTCTCATCACTCTAACATCAAATATACATTTATTATTGTATGTACAATGCCAACAACTTTTTGTAGTAGTTTTGAGAATTAAAATCTGAATTTATGAGAAGCGTGTTTTAGATGAACAAGTATGAATGTTGGGTCTCATTCACAAACCTGAACTTTTCGTAATTGTTGGGACAGATATAAGCTTTTTACATAAATATATTAAAGGCTTTGAATAATTTTTATTATTATTATTATTTTTTTTTTTAGAAAGAGGGAGAAATATTAAACAATGATGTATAGAGGGAAGTTGAGTTTGTGTTTACAAAGTTGAGTTTGTAAATTTAGTGTTTATAGCCTTACATGCATTCCAAAACATATGCCCCTTTTGAAGTCCAAACATAAATTTACATTAACCATCTGCAGGCATTCTTTTCACCGGCTACCCGGTGATCGGGTACCACAACCGCATCCAGGCATCCGGCACGTGCCTTGACAGTCCTTAGGATGCGGACCTCACGGCTTGCCCGTGGGACCCGCGCATCAAAGGCCTATTCTTCCACCAAACCACCTTCAGCATCGCCCTTTCCAAAGCCAAGCCCTTCATCCACGACATCCGCAAGCTCGTGGAGCTCGAGCCTAAGTCCCTCTGTGGGCTGGACCTCAACAATGGCATCCTCATGAGGTATGTAACGGCCTCTTCCGCCTATCTGGGAAAACAAGAGGACTCCATCGACTTTGACCTCACGTACTACAGGGCCAGGGACCCGATGAGCCCGAGGCTCTTTGAAGACATCCTGGAGGAAATCGAACAGATGGCCGTCTTTAAATACGGCGCATTGCCTCATTGGGGCAAAAATAGAAATGTGGCTTTTGTAGGGGCATTTAACAAGTATAGAAATGCGGACAAGTTTCTTAAGGTGAAAGCGGAGTACGACCCGTTGGGTTTGTTTTCGAGCGAGTGGACGGATCAGGTTCTCGGGTTGAGGGAGGGGCTGAGTGTGGAGAGAGAGGGGTGCGCATTGGAAGGCTTGTGTGTGTGCTCACAGGATACTCATTGTGCCCCAAGTAAGGGTTATTATTGTAGAGCGGGGAGGGTTTATGTAAAAGCAAGAGTTTGTTCTAAAGTTAAAGGCAACATTTCTTAAGCGTTTTGAATCCATCTTAGGATCCTTAATGTATTCATAAATAAATATGTCCATACTTTTAATCGATCTGATTTAATAGAAAAATATAGTTCAATTATTAAGAACACATCAACGTTACCTTATAGAGTTGATTTGTTGATCTAAAGGCCGAGCATTCTTCGTGCCAATTTAGTCTAGCGTATGAAAGGAGCTAACTGCCCAACTCCAAAGTTAACGTCCTATCTCCCAAATGTCGAGAGCCACGTTTGTCGCTGTGAACGTGGAGAATCCTCTCCTCCACTTAACACGTGTCCCACAGACACTCCGATGCACCATGACTCAGTCAATTTCATGATGATTTTTACCGAAGAAATAAGGCTAAGAGTTCTTTCTTTTTTTTTTTTTTTTTGATCGTTAAATGTAAATATATAGATCAAAACTGGGTTCGGAGCCATACAAAGGCATACAAAGGTGAATGGACAACCACAAATCGGTTCCTCATTCGCAAGATAAGATATACGAATACAATCACAAGTCAATTGCTCACGCAAAAGTCAAGGGGAATGAGATACAAAAATTCCCAAGGGGAATTCGGTCCATCTCCACTCGGTGATACAAGGGTCATGGCGCGCTGAAGAATAGCACATGTGCGTTAGCTGGCTTCAGGGCATAGCGGCGCTATGGATGACGTGGGGCGCTACCGTGGCAGGTTGGCGTGGCATGGTTCGCTGGCAGGTTAGCGGCGCTATGCGCATAGCGGCGCTACAAGTCCAGTGCCTGATCTTCTGTCCTCGCTATCCCAACGCTAAGGTGAAAGTTTCGTTAAGGCTGAATCAATAGCGGCGCTATCCCAGGTCAGCGGCGCTAGTACCTGGGTGTCTGTTTCCAGTTTTCTTCGTTGTGCACACGCTAATACCCAAGCGCCGCTATGCAGCCGCACCTTAGCGGCGCTAGCACCTGGATTCACCCAAAAATTTCCCAACTTCCGTCCTTTCAATGCATCTTCCAGATGATCGACCACCCTTCAACCTCAACACTCTTTTTTCCAAATATCAAAGTCCGAGGCTCCGCCTCTCAAATTTGGCAAACACATTCGGATAAAGAGCAAATATAGTGCGATAGACATGAGTTTTTACCTTTCGGATCACAAGGCACGGGGGTTGGTATTCATTTTCAAAGACCAACCTATTTCTTGCGTTCCAAATGAAGTAGACGGTGGCCGTTAGCGCCACTTTCTTCAATTTGGATCTCCAACTAGCCCCTCTCGCCTCTTTTTTGGTCCATTTGAGGGCACTTTTAAGGGTCAATGGTCTATGTCGGAGTCTAATCCAAGCACGTATCTCACCCTAAATCTCTGAGCTAAAGGAGCACTCAAAGAAGAGGTGGCTTGAAGATTCATTGGCGACTCCGCATAGAGGGCATAGCGGGTCATCACCAAGGAAATCAAGGCGGTCTTTTGTCCGAAGTCGATTAAGCACTCCAAGCCATAGAATGAAGGAGTGCTTAGGGGTATTGCAAGCCCCCCAAATAACCCCACTCCATGGCCTCGTGGGTCCTATAGGTCGTAGGAAGTCATAGCACTTACTAGACCCGTCTTGTCTATCTCGGGAGTTCCAACCTCGAAGAAGGGTCGCCGCTTCTCATTCACTTCCCACTCTTTCAACCAAGCCTTGTCGGATTTCGAAGAGGGATTTGAAAAGAGGTGAGTCACTCGGTCTAACCTCCCAATCCCAAATGGAGTTCCCCTTCAAATAAATATTGTGAATCCATTTTTGCCACAATGTATCCTTCTTTGCTTGCATGTTCCAAAGCGTCCGGGTGAGCAATGCTTGGTTCCACGCATTCAAATCCCTAAGCCCCAAACCATCCTCCAAGCACGGTAGACAAAGGCTATCCCAAGCCACGGGAGTGTTCTTCGATCCCAGAGAAACCTTCTACATAATTGAGTGATTTTGTTCTAATTATGCCGGGCAAGCGGAAGATCCCCATCCAAAAGCATACAATGCCTTGGATCACCAAGCGAAGGAGTTCCAATCTTCCGGCATAGGAAAGAGTATGTCCATTCCACCTACTAAGTTGCCCTTCAATTTGCTCAATCATATCGTCAAAGAGCCTACTGGTGATTCGGTCGGCGGTGAGGGGGACGCCGAGGTACCGAATGGGCATTGAGTCGCACAGTATGTTGGTGTTGATTGTAGCCCGACTATCGTCCTTGACACCGACAAAGTATATATTGGACTTTAGTACATTCATCCTAAGCCTCGACTTAGCTCCAAAAACCTTGAGGCAATCCACGAGAACTTTAATTGACGGGGGGTCTCCACGAGATAGAAGCATGAGGTCGTCGGCAAAGGCAAGGTGCGAGATTTTTAGTTGCTCGCACATCGGATGTTATTTGAAGTTCGTGCTGACTGCCGTGTTGTTCTTGATAAGCCGAGAAAGGTATTCCATACAAATCACGAAAAGGAAATGTGATAGGGGGTCACCTTGCCGTAGACCGCGACCGCATTTGAAGTGGCCCTTGAGGCTCCCGTTGATAGATATAGAATAGGACGGAGTGATGACACACTCCATGACCCATATTGTAAAGACCGGGGGAAAGCCGAGCCCATCAAGCACTTGTTTCAAGAACGACCATGAGATGGAGTCGAAAGCTTTGCGTAGGTCTATTTTAATGATACACCTAGGGGAGACCCGTTTCCTCGAGTAGAGTCTAAGTAGTTGTTGCATTAGGTGTATGTTGTCGGTCATGTTTTTCCCTTTCACGAAAGCGGCTTGGGCCTCATCAATGATGGAGTCAAGGACTTCACTAACTCGCCTAGCAAGGATTTTAGAACAAATTTTGTAAACCGTGTTGCAACACGCAATTGGCCGAAAGTCCATAACTTGTGAGGAGTGGGAGGACTTCGTAACAAGCGTGAGGGTCATATGGTTCCATTGTTTGAGGAGTGAGCCAGGGCGGAAGAACTCTTGGATGGCTGCCACCACCAACGATGGACCAACTCTTCAAAAAGAAAGTAGAGGTATAGCCATCAAGGCCCGAGGACTTACTACCCTCGATGTCTCAAAGTGTGTTCATGATCTCGTCCTCGGTGACCGGGGCAATGAGGGCCCTACAATCATTAATTCCGACACACGGTCCCACCCAAAGGATTTGGGAATCAACATCCTCTGTTTCAACCTCGGTTCCCAAGAGAGCCTCGTAGTAATGGACAAACTCTTTGGCTACTTCCTCCATAGATTCGGTGACGGTGTCATCTTCCCGGTTGATCGAGGCGATGAAGTTCCGTTTTGCTAGTTTTTTTACCAAGCCATGATAGAACTTGGTACATTTATCCCCCTTGATTTGGAAGTTACATTTGGCCTTTTGTTGATAAAAGAGCCTCCGCTTTGGCCAATTTGAGAGATTCAAGTCTAAGCGAAGGCATCTTAGCCTTAGTATCGGGGTCGTCGGGTTGATCATGGAGCATTTGTTGTGCATTCTTGAGGGCATTCTTCGCTTCTTTCGCCCGGGAGGAGATATGTGAGAAAGCCGCCTCATTAAGAGTCTTAAGCGAGTTCTTGAGGTTCTTCAAATTGTTTGCAAGGAGAAATTGCCTCGAGCCTCCACCGCCATGGTTCCACGTGTTTTGGACACACGGAAAAAACTTTTCATGGGCCGTCCACATGTTAAAGAACCGCCACGGTGACCTGGTAGTGTTCCTCGCTTCAAATATATTAACTATGCACGGGGAGTGGTCCGAAATACCCGGAGCTAGAAAGGTCGCGTGCGATAATAGATCATCATTCTCCCATTGAGTATCCACCATTGCCCTATCATGTTTCGACCAAACTTAGTTGTTGGTCCAAGTGTGGAAGAAGCCGCTTGAGGAGATGTCCGGCAATCCCAAGTTGTTATAAACTTCCAAGAGGTCCATGGTATCCCGGTTAGTGACCCTCTCCCCATTAATTCTCTCTTTCAGTTTGAGGATAGCATTAAAGTCCCCAAGGAGTAGCCAAGGTGAGAATATCCTCCCCCGAAAGACCCTAAGGTCGTTCCACAACAATTCTCGGTCTCTTCTTGTATGGAGTCTATATATAAAGCTAGCCATGAATGAGTGGTTGTTAACCTTACACCGGATGTTTGCAAAAATGACTTGAGGCAAGGCGGCATCCATCGTGATGTCAACCTTCATGGGGTTCCATAGGATGGCAATGCGCCCACGGTCAACAACGTCGAAATTCTCACAAAAAGCCCAACCCAGCAACATTCTATCCATAAAGCGAGTAGCCGCCTAGTGTCGGTTTTCGTTTCCAAAAGTCCTAGAACATCAATGTTATTTCTCCGGATGAGGTTTACCACCTCATCATGTTTTAGGGGCCCATTAATGCCCCTAATGTTCTAAGAGGCAATAATCATTAGGAAGAAGAAGGGTGACCCCCCTTCTTCGCTGGATTTCCTCTTCCCCCGTCTTTCCTCCCGCTTGGCTTGTCTCTAAGCTTGGAGTGTTGACCCGAAGTTGCAGCGGCTTGACTCGCGGCTCCACTTCGAATGAGAATTTTTTTGTACTTTTCTACCACTTGGAAGGATTCATCATCATTGTCCGGAGGGGTCTCAAGGATTTGGTGTTCCAAGTCCCCGGATGGAGAGGAGGATGAGCCGGCATCCGAGATGACCACCGTCTCTCTTCTCTTTTCACAATCCCCATTCCCCTCTAATTCGTCTTATTTCTCTTGTTTTTTCTCCACAACCCACACTTTCTTAGGCTCATGGTTCTTTACTTGCTCTTTATTGATGTTCACCTCCTTCTTACTTGGTTGCTCTTTTTGTTTCGTTTGGTGTTCGACCGGTTTCTTAGTGGTTCTCATGGTCCCGTCTTATCCGGCCAGTTTCTTGCCTTGGGCCTTTTCCTCGAGGTGGGCTTTGTATTTCCCACAATTGGAGGTAGAGTGTCCAATAAATTTGCAATGATTGTAATAGTGCGGGACATACTCATAATCTACCTTTTGCTCGAACATAAGTTTTCCCTTGGATTTGACGA